GATGGTATTAACCCTCACGGGAACCTAAGTAGCAAGCATAGCTCGTGGCCAGTTATGTTGATAATTTATAATCTACCCCCGTGGTTGTGTATGAAACGCAAATACATATTATTAAGCTTGATGATTTCTGGGCCAAAACAACCAGGTAATGATATAGATGTTTTTTTGGCGCCTTTGATTGATGACTTGAAGCAATTATGGGATGAAGGTGTGTTAGTGTTTGACGCATACCGGAAGGAGACTTTTAAGTTGCATGCAATGCTTTTTTGCACAATCAATGACTTTCCAGCTTATGGTAACTTGTCTGGATATAGTGTCAAAGGTCATAAGGCATGCCCCATATGTGAAGATAATACCTGTTATCATCAACTGGTTCATGGTATGTAAATTATTTTTTAAAAAAGAAAAAAAAAAATATATATATATATATATATATATATATATATATATATATATATATATATATATATATATATATATATATACGGCTTCGGCTTTTAGGTAAAAGCCGAAGCCGTATATTACATACGACGTCGGTTGTTCAACCGACGTCGTATCATTTACTTACGACGTCTCTTAAGACGACGTCGAAAGATAACTGACGTTAAATGGGGTATTTTAACCGACGTTAAAACCGTTTTCTGTAGTAGTGTGTGGATGCAGTGGTACGCATGACCACTGGGTTCTTGCGTGGTTGGAGGACAACTAATGGCGTGGAGGTGGACAATTTACATTAGTAACGCATAGCTCAACAACATTGGACGAAACTGGATTAGGGGTGTTTGAAGTTGAATGTTGACGTTGAAATTGAAGCTAGGAGGAGCTGCATGGGGTTTGGGTGGGTTATTAGAGATGTATTGGGGAGTTTCATTGCTCATAAATCAATGCACGGTGTGGTGTATGCACGGTGTAACTAGAGAAGCCAAGGTGATGGGAATACAGGAGCTGTTTAGTTGACTCAAAGAGCTTAATTTTAGCGAGGTTGATGTAGAGATGAATGTGCAAGAGGTTTTTAACCCGTTGCATGGTGAGGTTTGGAAAGTCCGTGTTTGATTTAGTGGTTGATGACATAAAAGATATTAAATATGCGATTCTTCTTTATTAAACGATTTGCAAATTGCGTCGATGACTTACTTGCTTAGAGGTCGTTTCTTAATTAGATTGTAGAGTTTGGTATATGATTATTGTGTGGACCATGGTCTACACAATGTTACGTGGACCATAACAAAATGTACATTTTTAATATACTAAATGTACATTAATTTTGTACTGAATGTACATTATACAATATAATGTACATTCAATACAAAAATAATGTACATTTTCTGAATACAATGTACATTATTTTTGTACTGAATGTACATTATTTTTGTATTGAATATACATTATTTTACAGTATACAAAATATGGTCCATGCAACTTGTGTAGAGCATGGTCCACACAATAATGATTGATGTTCCGCCTTCTTTAATTATAGATATTTTAAGTTTTGATAATCAATAAATTTCTTTACTATCAAAAAAAAAAAAAAAGTACTACATTCCATATTAAATATATATAAATTTATAAGTTAAATTATCAATACATTTCTTGAGTAGCAATAAAATTAAGTTACATTCTAATATATCAATTTAAATAAAATTATAATACCTACAAATTTTGTCTAGATAATAATATAGTAATTATCGTTTATCATATTAGAGGGTAAATACTAAATAGTAAACATAAAAAACAGTAACAATCTAATTAAATAATCAGATAAAATCTACAAATTATCAATATCAAACTTAATATGTAAAAGCTTAATTTAAATTATTCACTAATAGATACGGAGTAATTGACAAAAGAAAAAACATATTTATTTAATGTATACCTTCAAATAATAATTACGAAATATAAATTTATCTTTTCCAAAAAAAAAAAAAAACATATACTTATGAGATGTTTGGAAGGATGGAGTTGTAATTCCATCCATACTAAACTCCATGGAATTATAATTATATGGTTTGGTTAGAGGGAATCATGGAATTGCAATTTCTAAGGTCTTCCAAGGAATTGCAATTTTACATGGTGTAAAATTATAATTTTATGATAAATGACTATTTTACCTTTATTATTATTATATTATTATTATTAAACAATGACATTTTAGTCTTTATTCACTTACATGACGTTTGGTTAGAAGGAAAGAATTAGGGGGAAAAGAATAAGGTGATAATAAAGTATGAATTCAAATTACATTGCTTGGTAGGGAGGAATATAATTATTAGGAATGAGAAGGGAATAAGTGGTATAAAGACTAAAATGTCCTTGTGTAATAATAATACTAAGAGCATCCCCATTAGGAGGATTATTCACCGTTTTAAATAAAAAATTGCCAACATGAATGAAAGAGAAGCAAGTGAGAGAATGCTAGAGCTCCTCCGGCTAAGAATGAGATTTTTATGGTCCCAATGCAAGATAAAGATAACAATTGGTTGTTCTTTTTTTCTTGCATTAAAAGGGTGTTGCTATTTGCACCACCCTTTAGTCAAAATGGAGTATAAAGTACCTTGCAAATGTAAAAAGTTAAAAAATTTCAATGATTATATAGGTGGTGTAAATAGCCAAAGTGGTGTTCAAATTGCTATTTACACCACCTTATCAAATCTCATTGAAACATTAATTAACTAAAATATTTTTTTTTAAAAAGAAATAAAAACATTAAAAAAAAACGCAGAAGCTGTCTTCTCCGGTGAGAAAGCACCCATCCAGTGGGTTGCCTTCTCACCGGAGAGGGCAACCTGGGTCGCCTTCTCCGGTGAGAAGGCAGCCCACCTAGTGGGTTGCCTTCTCACGGTAGAAGGCAGCCTTCTCCGGTGAGAAGGCAGCCCATAGCCTTCTCACCAGAGAAGTAAGTTTTATTTATTTATTTTTAATTAGTAATTTGATTATTAAATAAAAATAAATAATAAATATTAATGTTTGACTATATTTAATGAGGTGGTGCAAATAGCACTTTTGTATTTGCACCACCTATAAAGCTACTACACCTATTAAATAAGTGGTGTAAATTGCAAATAGGGTGGTGCAAATAGAATTTCCCCATTAAAAATCTTTTTTCATTTTAGTTTTTTACTTTTTTTTCTTTATCACTTTTCTCCTCATCTCTCCTACTTGGCACCTAAAAAACCATACCAAAGTCTCCACTATTGAGGATGCCCTAATAATAATCAAGGGTAAAAATTCTTTTTCTTCCTTTTTCTCTTTCCTTTCCCCATTGAATTGCAATTCATATGGGAGGGTATGAATTGCAATTCAACAAAATGAGGGAATTGCAATTCTGGTGACCAGAGAATTATGCTGTAACTGAATTGCAACATCTAACCAAACATTCCATTATTTCCTTTCAATTTTTCATCATTATATTTATGTCTACCAAACAATGTAATATAAATTTTCACTTTTTAGTCCGCATGGATAGCTCAGTTGATCACAGATGTGAAGTTTAGAAAGAATGACTAAAGATTGAGTCTCAACAGCGGGCAGTGTGGGATCAGCCCTCTCAAAGTGACATCTCAAAGTGAGGGGCTCCTTGTGCGCAATAAGCAAAGGTCTAGACTCTATGTTCAACTGAATTACCATGATACATCATTCTTCCAAAGGCTGAACCCCAACCCTAAGGGCCCCCCACACCCCTACCATGATACATCATCCCAGTACAGTAAGCAACTGAATTACCATGATACATCATCCCAGTACAGTAAGCAACTGAATTACCATGATACATCCCCCTCTCAAAGTGAGGGGCTCCTTATGCGCAATAAGCAAAGGTCTAGACTCTATGTTCAATTGAATTATCATGATACATCCCCCCAATACATTAAGCAACTGATTTACCGTGATACATTCTCCCAATACAATAAGCAAAAGTCTAAACTCTATGTTCAACTGAATTACCATGAAACATCATCTCAAATACTTTGACGAGCCGAGTATAAAACCATTTGGAATTAAAAATTTCAATGAAAAATAAATTTTTACTTTATTCTTTTCTCACTGAATTACAATTCTTTTATCATTTCTTCCTCCATCAAATCAAGGTCGGTTTTTAGATTTTTGTTTCCCTGTTCGAGTAAATAAATAAGGCCCTACCAAAATTAAAATCTTTAAAACTAATACCGTAATTTTATTATCAAAATATATAACACAAAAAAATTATCCGTGCATCGCACGCATACTGCACGGATAATTGGGCAATTATTTGCTCGAATTCAAGCAAGGATAACATAAAAAAACATAATCGATACAACTCATTTCATCAATTGAACTATATAATATTCGTTGTTATAATTTAAAGATTATAACAAATCTTTTCCGTGCAATGCACAAGTAAAAATAGACATATTATGAAATAATAATAATAGTGTGCACAAGTTTTGAACCATAGACCTCAAAGTTAAAATACAATAAATACATGTTCCTACCATTTTTTTTATAAAGCCTTTTAGGTTTAATTAAAAACTTTTAATTTTTATTTCTAAACTAACTAGGTAAAAATAAAATATTGAACTTTTAAAATTTGAGGCCCCTCTCAAATTTTGGGTCCGGTGCGGTAGCCCAGCTTGCACAGCCCAAAATTCGGCCCTGCATTAAACCCTACTATAGAAAACAAAAGATTTACCCGCACGGGCTTAGCTTAATGATTTAGTGGGCAGTATTTGAAGTAAGAGACCAAGGTTCAAACCTCGGCGACCACAGTGTGGGAATTATGTTCAAAGTGGACAGATTCCTTGTGTGCACCAACATTTGGCCCTGCTTACTAACCCATTGAGTCACTGTGTAATTTACATCTTCTCACATGCTCTGTCGGGTCGGACTGTGGAGACCTCTTAGGGCTGAACCCCTTTTGGGGTAAGAAAACAAAAGATTTATGACAAGACATCAGCCATTTGTACTACGAGGCTTGTACTCCAAAGCCTTAAAATCTGCGGAATCGATGCATCTTCCTTAAATCTTTTGAATATTTCATTCTCAAGTCCGCTTCTCTTTCTCTCTGCTGACACGCTCACTTCCCGAAGCAAACTCGTCACGCCTCAGCACTCAGCATAGCCCCCACTCGTGTCACTATTCCTCTCGAGCTCCGACACCCCCTCCTTTACCGTACAGAGAGACGTTATAGTCTTCTGATCCTCAAAAACAAGAACAAAAATACCAACGTTACAAAACAAAAGCATCAGCAGAAGCCAGTAAACAAGAAAGAAACACAGTGAAGTGAGGAGAGAGAGAGAGAGAGAGAGTGGGGGTGAAGGAGAAGCACTTAAGAAGAAGAAGAAGAAATGGGAATGTGGTTCAGACTCATCTTTGCATGTTCTTTGCTCTTGCTGCTTCTGGGTATGTTCAAAATTGCTCCTTTTTCCTACTATTGTTTTTTTTGGGGTTTTCAAGGTTAATTCTCATTTGGGTTTCTTGCTAAGATTAGCTGTTGTTGAGGTGGTTTTTGCTTCTTATAGTGTTAACTTGATTATGTTTTAATGTGATATCTGAGAACCGACATTTCACTGTAGTTATCACTAACAGCAGCTCAAGTCTGGTTCTTTACCTAAATATCAAGAAATCTTCAAGTGTTCTTTATCAGATTTAGACCAACAACATATAGTATAAACAAAGCAACTAATCTGTTAAACAAAGTTTAGGGGAGAAAACTAATATGTCCTCCACTCCATGTTTGGTTGACACACCTTGCAGTCATCTCTTCCACCCTATCAGCAGCCCCAACTCTCAGTCACTGATTCAATACCCCCACCCCCCCCCCCCCTCACCCCCTCCCCCCCCCCCCCCCAATTACTGCCTACTAATGGAATGGCTTTACAGTTTAACCTTATAACACTACTTTAGGCAGTGTTTTAAAATAAGCTCTTATTTTAAGCTACAGCTTGTTTTAAGAACATTACCAAACCGAGTTTATAGCTTATTAGTAGCTTAAAATAAGCTATAAGCTCTTAAATAAGTTCTGCCAAACATACTCATAGATGTACCTGCATTATTAATGTATTGTGTAATGGTGGTTGCATTAGCATTTGGTGGTTTCTCAATTGGAATTTTGGGGGGCCAGTCTGCTAGCCAGCTAGAATGCATTATTTTTATGGTGGCCCGGGATGATCTATATTTTAATCAGTCAGGTGATGAAAACCAGGGTGCTTGCATTCATCCTGGTTCACAAAGCTATGCATATGCACATATTAATGATTTCATATCATAATATATTAATGGTCATGTGATAACTGTTCATAATGGTAATCATTTGAATACAAGTGTGTTGGTATAAGAGAGCATTAGTGTATTATGATATGAACATTGTTGATAGAATCCAGGTAGCTATGTGTACCAATTACCCCTTTTGCTTTCAATTGCCAGCTGATATGGTGTAAGTTGTGGACCACTCTAGCTAAAAATTGGCCTAGTAATAAATAGAAGCTTAAAATGGTATTTTCGTTAGTAATTTTTAAATGCCATTGGTTTTGGTTGAGTAATTATTGTTCTGTTATTCATGGTCCCGTTCAAGCATTTGAGTAGCTCCAACGAGGGGCACTTATACGGGATTGTGGCTGAAAATATGGTCGTTGAGGGATTGGCCAGTTGTGGTCTAACTTTGCCTCTCAGAAAGAATCAAAGCCGACCTATGACCTTTGGCATGACTCTGATACTAAATTGAAGCATGTATTCCATCTCAACTAAAAGTCTAAGTTGATAGTTGGATGGATAGATGCTGTCCAAAAAATATTCTTGCCTGAGATTACTGAATTATTACATTATTGAATTTTCGAATTCCTTTTTGGCTATGCTTAGTAGCTTACTTCAACTATTGAATTTGTTGATTACGTAAACGTAGGTATCTGCAGAGGAAGCAAAATTGGAGTCTGCTATGGAAGGAATGCGGACGATCTTCCCACCCCGGATAAAGCGGTACAGCTTATCCAACAACACAATATTAAGTATGTGAGGATATATGATTCGAACATCCAAGTTCTCAAGGCGTTTGCGAATACTGGAATTGAGCTCATGATCGGAATTCCAAATTCGGACTTGTTACCGTTTTCCCAATTCCAATCCAATGCCGATACGTGGTTGAAGAACAGCATCCTTCCATACTACCCCGCGACGAAAATCACTTCTATAACCGTCGGTGCTGAAGTCACAGAAGCCTCAAGCAATGTATCTGCCATGGTAGTACCCGCAATGAAGAACGTATTCACATCTCTACGAAAAGCCGGTCTCCACAAGAGGATCAAGGTTTCGACTACGCATTCCTTGGGCGTTTTATCTCGATCGTTCCCGCCTTCTGCCGGGGCTTTTAATAGTAGCCATGCTTATTTCCTGAAACCCTTGTTGGAATTCCTTGCTGAAAACCGGTCGCCTTTCTTGGTTAACATATATCCATACTATGCGTATAGAGATTCCTCGACCAATGTCTCCCTAGACTATGCTCTATTTGAGTCATCCTCGGAGGTAATTGATCCCAATACCGGTTTGCTATACACAAATATGCTCGATGCTCAGCTCGATGCCATCTACTATGCTTTGATGGCTCTGAATTTTAGAACGATTAATATCATGGTGACGGAAACCGGCTGGCCTTCTAAAGGGTCCCCTAAAGAGACGGCTGCCACTCCAGATAATGCACAAACCTACAACACGAACTTGATTCGACATGTTATTAATAACACGGGTACCCCAGCGAAACCCGGGGAGGATATTGATGTTTACATCTTTTCGCTGTTCAATGAGAATAGGAAACCTGGTTTAGAATCCGAGAGGAACTGGGGCTTGTTTTTCCCGGACCAAACGAGCGTCTACAACTTGGATTTCACCGGGAAAGGGGCGGTGGATGTTAGTACAGGTGCCAACCTCACTAGCTCGAATGGAACGTGGTGCATTGCTTCGTCGACAGCATCTGAAGCTGATTTGGAGAATGCTTTGAATTGGGCTTGTGGCTCTGGCAATGTGGACTGCTCGGCCATACAGCCTAGTCAGCCTTGCTTCGAGCCCGACAATCTTGTTTCTCATGCCTCGTTTGCGTTCAACAGTTACTACCAACAGAATGGAGCTACGGATGTCGCTTGCAGCTTTGGAGGAGTCGGTGTTAGAACGAATAAGAACCCAAGTAAGTGTACAAAAATGTGTTTTTTTTCCAATTTTTTGATATCAATTGTTAGTTACCTTTGCTTTGCTTCTCTCTTGCCCCTACCGAGGCAAATTATACTATCGACCATGGTCCACATTGCCAATGTTTAAACTGATTTTGGATCTGCTAATCTATCTTTAAACAGTCTCGTCAAAATTGCTCTCACCCCGTTCTCTATGATGCTTTTGCAGGCTACGACAACTGTCTCTACATGACCACGGGGTAAGTGTGATGTACCAATATGAGTTTGTCTCATACTAGGAAAATGAGTGAAACAATTTGGATTAGACCCATTGTACAGGGATTAGATGCCAATAAATATATTGGTTGTATCCCTAAGGGTCGTATCAGCACTATCACCATCACATGAATTGTTTCACTCCCGTGGACGCTGGCACATTGCTGAACCACGTAAATCTTGTCTTCTTTATCTTTCTGCCATTATTGTTATTTATTGTTCTTGTTAAACTCAACTTGTTTTTATATTTTACATTTAACAGGAGTAAAGCTGCTACTGCAGCTAGCAATGCAACAGCCAGCCCGACAAGAGCATCATCATCGTCAGCACGAAGAGTTTCTTTGCATTCACTCGCGCCTTTTCTCCTTCTCTTCTTTAGCGTAGTCTTTTATTATTAAGGTAACATCATCCAGCAAAGCACCATCCATCCCCGGCCGCTACATATGTGTTATGAAGCGAAATTCAACTTCAGATCGAGGTGTACGAGGTTTCAATTGCAGGCAATCTTGGCACAATTTTGTACGATGAACTGAACATAGGTTCTTCCTAGGACATGGTGGAACAGTTTCATGCCAAGATGTAGTAGATGTATCATCTATGATTCTATTCTATTAATTCATGAAGCTCTCTATTTCTGTAAAGAATGAGCTCTGTCCAATATGTATGTCTTGATGAGAAGAAACAGACTGGAACTGTTGTGCAAAACCAGTGTGCTTTTGTGGCATAAAAAACTTTTTGGTTTTTTTCTTCAGTCTACTTATTTTCAATGATATGTATATTATAAGGTAATCAGCTTGGTTGGCGTGAGTGGCCGTGCACCCTGATAAGGGAGTTTGGGATTTTGAACATTCTCTTGAATAGAAAAATTGGTCAGCACTTTGCCCTTTAATTAGGCTGGCCTAGTGCGAATGGGTATTAGTCTGAATATGGTACAGGCCTTCTACTATTAGGATCTGTTTAAGACATCTCATGATTTGATTAAAAGAAATGATATATTAAAGATTTGTTTTTGAGTATATATATTACTTAAAATGGACTTTTAGTCACATTAAAAAATGAACTTCAAAAAATATCATTTAATATACTGAAATTGAACATTTAATATGCTAAAAATAAATTTATTTGTCCATTTTTATTGTAAATGTGGACCATGGTCTAATGGTCTACAGTATGTATAATAATTGGTTGGAACATGGATAGGCCATAGAAGGATCTGTTTCTTATTCGGGCCTCAATTGGTACTGCCCCATACAAGATTTATGGTCCCAACAATAATTTCACTTTCTGTCTATTGTTTAACGTGTAGCACTTTTTAATTTCACCACATCTATCTATATATAATAAAATTATATGGTCTTGTGAAAATTGAATGTTGCATTTAATTTTCACAAGACCATATGGCTTTAAGATGTGAAAGTCTTGTGAAAATTAAATGGGCTTTAAGATGTGAAAATTAAATGTTGCATTTAATTTTCACATCTTAAAGTCATATGGCTTTAAGAAGCATGCATGCAATCCCAAAGTCCATAAGTTTGAAATTAATATATAGCATAGCTATGTGACTTAATATTTAAGATTATTGATGTGCATATTAAGGACTACGGAGACAAAGATGCGTTATTCGTGGATTCATCGAATACTATCCAACAACACTCTCCAACTTAATTGACGTGAAGTAGGCTTAGTAACATTTAGATTATATTCTCGAATTATTAGTTCTCATCTTTTATTGATTACACACTTAATTTGATAGTATTTGGAAGAAAAAAAATCAATGTTCTAACTAAGATTGTGATTTTGGTCTTTAAAGGTCAATTGTATGTTGCTACATCTAGAGTTAGAAATCTCAAAGGTCTAAAAATTTTGATCCGTGGTGACTCTAAAATTGTAATTCAATTACTATTGTAGTTTACTAAGTTTTTAAAAATTTATAATATTAAATACTATGTACTAAATTTTTAATATAGTTTATGATTTGTAGTAATCACACACCTTAAATATTATTTTAATTGTAAATATATTTATGTTCATAATTTTATCATAGGAATTCACACATAATAATTATTAAATAACAAAAATTTTATATATGAATAAATCTTATATAGTGTATATTTTTATAACATATTTTCCGTGCATCGCACGGGACAAATACTAGTATAAATAATGGGCAAAATATTCATGTTCAATGACACATTTTAGCTACATAATAATGTTGTAGATGCTTTTAAGTTCCTTTAGAATTTCGACTTTCAATTTGTAAATCAATCAGCGATTCAAAATTTTCTATAATTTAATTAGGGAGGTTGTTTCTCTATCAGATTATAAGAAATGTTTTTTCATTCTATTGAACTTTGTTGTAAATGTTCTTATATGTTATTTTCACTTTTGGTCCCACAAGTATGAAATTATTTTCACATTTGGTCATTAACTATCAAAATTTTCAGATTTGATCCCATGACTTTTAAATCCTTGCCACATTTGGTCACTAACTATTAAAATTTTCAGATTTATCCCACAACTTTTAAATTCTTACTACATTTGATCACTGACTATTAAAATTTTTAGATTTGATCGGGTGATTCTCTAATCACAAAATTAACAACTAATCTCCCTTCTAATTAAATAAATTGTAATTTTTGTACAAAACATTCCGTGTTTGTAAATTTAAATTTGTAATATAATTTTAAGGGAAAATGACACTTTTCCCCCTGAGTTATATACTTGTAGCCATTTTTCTCCCTCAATTATTTAGGTAAGCACATTAGCCCCCTCAATTATTCTAAAAGTGGTGGTTTCCCCCCCCCCCCCCCCCCCCTGATATATTAAATTGACATTTCTACCCTTAAAGTAAACATTTTATTTATTTTACTTCTCCAACAAATTATTGCGTATACGTAGGGATGACCACGGTTCAGACCAAACTGAACCGGACACTATAGCAATTGAATTAAAAGTTTCCGGTTATGATTCAGATCTAGAACCTAATATTTGAATTTCAATTTATTAAAATTATGAATAAAAAAATTGGATCTTGAACCGTGAATCGGCGGTTCTGGATCCGGTTCGCGATTTTGAACCGTCTTTATTTTAAAATTTTATTTTTTATTTTAAATAGTCTAAATTCAAAAATAAATGTATTTTATTTTTTCAGTTCGGAACATGAATCGTCCGTTCCGGTTCGCGATTTTAATAAACTCTAAATATCGAGTTTCGATTCTAAATTATAATTGGAATATTTCGGTTTGGTTGCTATAGTGTTTGTTTGGTTTGAACCAAATCATTGTCATAATTGGTTGGAGAAGGAAAATAAATGAAATATTTATTTTAAATATTTATTTTAAGGGTAAATATGTCCATTTAACATTTCAGGGGAAAAAACAGCCACTTGAATAATTCAGGGAGAGAAAATGCTATAAGTATATAACATAGGAGGAAGAAGTGTCATTTTCCCTAATTTTAATTTATTTAAATTCGATTTTAACATTATTAAAGTTTGTATATAATATTTGTATTCTGTAAACATAATATCATTAATTCAACACCATATTAACTTATAAAAAAATTGGAGGTAACTTTATTGTAAGACCAAATCTGAAAATTTTAATTGTCGGGGATCAAATGTGGCAAATCTAAAAATTTTAATAGTTGGGGACCAAATGTGGCAATGATTTAAAAGTGTTAGAAATTCGATTGACCATTTGATATCATTGATATGCTTAGTGTGTGACTCGTTGATTTTTTAGGGTTAGGATTAAACCAGACCCATAGTATGAACTAATAACTAGAGAAGAACTAATAACCAACTCATCAACTTCGCATTATCTGGATATCTAAAGAATCAGTCACGATATGATATATAGTATAGGTCATATCTTTGTAGCAACTGCTATTTTTTTTTCATAAACAAAAAAGATTCTAAGTTGCAAAGCAAAATAGAAGAGAAAAAAGATGTGGATAAAAGAATCTCAATGATTTAATGTGGAAATGATTCAATACTCGTGAGACCAAAAGTGAAAATAACTCCGTTCTTATTTATTATTAATGAATTTGTTTTGATTTAAAAAAAAAAAAAGGGGGGGGGGGGGGGGGGGGGGAGGGCAAATCTTTGAGCATCCATATCAGTTTTAACGCACCCATTGTGGTCGCAATGTGTGCCTAATACGTAATCTGGCATTTTTTTTTTCATTCTCCTGCAAAAAACTTGTTTTGCACGAGAAAAAACTGGGTTTAAAAACCTTGTATTCCATCTATGAAAAATCACTGTTCTAACAACTGAGAAAAAATCTTGTATTTCATCTATGAAAAACCACTATTCTAACTACTAAGAAAAAACCTAGTATTCCATTTGAAAAATCACTATTCTAAAAATTGAGAAAAAACCGATGATATGGATGCTCTTATGGTCTATGTAGAGTTGTGTAAATCGTGAATACAAAGTACATTTTTAATACATTAAAAAATATATTATTTGTGTATGGAATATAACATTATTTTGTGTACTTCTAATTTTCAAGTAATGTTTATGAATATAAAGTACATTCTTAATATACTAACTGAATTTATATTATTTGATAAGATACAAAATTTCAATACTCAAATAATATACTTTCTATGAATATAGGTACATTTTTTAATATACTAATATACGAAATGTATATTATTTGTGTATTGAATGGACATTATTTGATAATATACAAAATAATATATTTTCAATACTCAAATAATGTACTTTATTTGTGATTGATACAATTGGTCCATGCAATAACAACTCATAAATAAGGCAGCTGGGCAAAGAAAGTAAAAAACAGTTCTACCAGAAAAATTAGATAAAAATCATAAATTCATATATTAAAGAACTGCAGCAGTGCAGCAGTCAAATCCAAAACATCCAATTATAAAAAATAAAAAAACGAATCAAAATAATTATATCATCAAATCACCCTTCCAGGAGGGGAAAAAACACAAGGGTAATACACCTTGAACCCAGGGGGGAATTATATCTACTACTACTACTTCATCATCTGCAGAAGAAAACCAGAATCTTGAATTGATAGCTGAAAATGACTAAAAGCCCTGATCAACCAAATAATCACCAAGCCTTTCAACAACCATGTTGCACTGCCCTGGAGTCATTGGCTCATCATATAATCCAAACAGCAAGCACTGGCTAGTCTTCTTAATGCAAATGCCACCAGGTCCCTGGATAAATAATTACATAGTGTTAAAACAGAGAAAAATCCAGCCAATTTTGAGAAGGAAAACTATGGATCTGTATTCCTATTTCCTACTAAGAATTAGAAAACAAGTTGAAGATATTACCTTCTTTCCACGAACAACAGCCCCTGGCTCGCCTTGAATCACCATGTATTTTGCGCCACCAAGGTGGAGCCCAGTTGGAGCAAGAGACCCAGGTTCATCAAAATCCTTCATGATTGCAGAAACTTCTCCTGCTTTTAACTACAACATCAAAATCAAAAGTGATTGGTATTAGTTCATGAACACAATTAATTAGTGATCCGAAATCATCCAACCAAAAAGCAGAAGATTATTTTCATCATATCAAATCAAATATAACAATTTTCATAAAAATTGAAAACCAACCAATCCTGTTATCACGTCGGATCCAATATATTGGAAACACAAATCAACATGCGATCATAATATAACTCGGTATATTTGATCGATCATTGTACAAAGTTACCATTTAATCGGATCCCTAATCGCCAACACACACGCATATAGTAAATGCGGTAATAGAAGATCACCTGGGGGAAGGCGGAGCTCTGGGCCCAGACGCTGCCGTCGAGGCCGAGGATGGCGGCAGAGGTGAGGTGGTTGCCCTCAATATCGCACATAAGGTGCTCATCGACGTAAGTTTGCCACGACATTTTCGAAATTTTCCGATGAAAACTTTCCGGCGAATATGATAATTGATAGTTGTGCTTTGTGAATAGAGAGATGTGTTTGTATTGATGAATTGAAATGGGAGTGAGTATCCCTATTTATGGAGTGAGATTGGAGGACAAAAGTCCGTAATACCCCTCTAACCAAAATGATCGGGGGTAAAACCATAACTAATTAACGGTGCATATTTTTTCTTCAACAAGAATGAAGTATGACCTCTTCTTTTCCTCTTTTTTTTTTTTTTGTTTTTTTTTTTTTGGTATTATTGACTATATTACAAAATAATATTTGTTATATATTTTCTCTATTTGTTACACTCAAAAAATTAATACCGCACCATTGATATTCAATTCGGTCATATGACATTCCTTCCGGGAGAGCCACAGAAGTGAAATATGACATTTAATTACATGCAATAATATAATTGGATCATCCAATTAAAAAAGAACATTGTAATTGAATTTTTAAACAATTTTAAATCGTGTAATTAAACTGAAGTATAGTGCCAACTATCATGTAGTGCGATGACATCGCGATTATTATTCCAAATGGGTGGTTATTGATGGACTCTGGGCTGAAAATGTTTGAGAAAGCATAGCACATATATCCCACCTTGTAAAAAATCATGAGTATTTAAAATTTGTTTTTAAAAAAACAGAAGCTAAGTATAGTTTACTGTCAATTTAATATAATTTTTAATTGTTCAGGGACTCAATAATATAATAATATAATATATATAATATAATAATAATAATAATAATTATTACTATTATTATTATTATTATTATTATTATTATTATTATTATTATTATTATTATTTGAGTTGGATGAATAGTTTTGTATGTAATTTGATAAAATATATTGAGAGACAAAGGAGGAGAAGTTATAACAACTTAACACTTAACAAGTCATTTGATTTATATTAGAATTGGATCATCCACCGCAACCACACTCAAATCCACCATTGAAGAAATTCCACCATATCAACCTCCTAGCCTCTAGACATTTTTGGCGTCTAATTAGCTTGAAAAAAAAAAAAAAAAATAGAACTATTATCAATCTATCTTTAGAACATTTTAGAATGTATTATCAAACTTTTTCTCTTTTCTTCTTTGTTTTGAGATCCTTTTAGATTTCAATGGTTGAACCCATTTTATCTAGCTAAGGATTGTTGAAGCTATAATTCAATTTCAATAGTAAGTTCATTCTTAATCTCATTATTGTAAGTATTTATCAATTTCTCGTGCTTTGATTCCATAATTATTTAAGTATTATTGAATAGTGACATTCTTAATGTGCTAAATAATCATTTGCTCATTCAAATTATCAATCTTTCCCATTGTTATTTTAATCTAGATAATCGTTTGTCAATTAGAATTATCAATAATCTTCCTTATTGTTATTTTAATCTAGTGGTACTTAGCATTAATCAATGTGTATCGCATTGTGTGTTTGTGGATCAAGACTTGGGTCTTTCTAATTCCGAATGCTGATGGATTATCTTATGAGGTTTTTGGAGTAATTATTTGGTAAGTTATTGGCCCTGTTTGGTAAAAAATTGGCCTATAGGCCAATTTTGGTTTATTTGACCACTATTAATTGTTTGATTTAGTTTAAATATCAATATAAATGTTTGGTTAATTAGCTTTTTACAACTTCAAAAGGCTAAAATTCAAAAAGATACTCCAGGCAACTTTTTCAATTAGCTTTTTGAGAAAAGAAATTATACCAAATAGCTATCAGCTAACAGCTAATTTACCAAACACTTTTCTACCATCAACTAATGTTATTAACTACTTATACTCTCTAATTAACACAATCAGCTAACAACTATCAGCTAACAGCCATTTTGGGCCATTAACTAATTTAGAAAATATTAGGGTATGGGCAATTGTTCAGGTTGCTTTAACAAAGTTTAATTTGCTTTACAATCATTGTGCTTAATTTTGCAACCATGACCTATTGTGTAGAATCCTTGTGAAAAATATATCTTTAGTTAGAATTTTTACTCCTTAAATTTCAGTACTTGCATTACTCTTGTTTATTGATAATTGCTTGTTTAAATATTTTATTTTAATTGAATAAAAAATTCCAATTAGTTGTTTTAAAGAGGTAAACTAGTTCCTATGAATACAATTTCTACTCACCACATGTGTTCCCTTCTAACTTATAAGGAGTAGCGAGGCTCGAGGTCCCAATTTTAATGCTGGGTTACGCAAAAGGGAATGTCGACTTTTCCTTTGGCATTATTGCCTTCAGTCACGTCTAACGATTTCGATTTAGCATTGTAGCTTTTCCATTTATTTTTTGAAATAATGACAGTAAATACGGTAAGTGGACAGTACACCTACCTTATTTACTACCATTAATACCTAAATACTCCGTAAATACCACAATTATTTATTGGCTTTTCCTCCACATTTACACTCCTCTTCGTGGTAGTTTTCTTCAAATTTCTGCATTGGACACATCATTTTCTTCAATATTTGTGGTCCCTCTCAAGTCCTTTTCACCCTTTTTGTTTGTGTACTTTGTATCAATGATTTTTGTGTATTGAGAAATAGTTGTGTTGTTTGACGTTCGGCTGTTCACGACTGCGGCGGTTCACGGCGTTGACAACGGCAGCCTCGGCTTGGCAAGATTTTTTTTTTTACTTGCGGTAATAGTACATTATTTTGATTGTTGTTTACTTGTTCAACATATACTCTAGTTTCTTCAAAAATATACATTATTTTGATTGTTGTTTCCCTGTTGAACACATATTGTAGTTTTTTCAAAAATATTCTGGAATACACCTATTATTGTTTTGTTGTTCAATATGCCCGCTGTATTCATTTTTTTTTTTTTTTTTTGTATAAACCAACATCGCCTAAGAGCATCCACACCAAAGCATAATAGGGAGATAATAGTACATTAATATGCACTTCAACATATGGGAAGCAAAGATAATACCAAAAATAATCCTCCTGCAAATGTCAAGATAATGGCAGAAAAAAAAAAAAAAAAAGAAAAGGGACAAGCGCTGCTAAGCGCCAACGCACGCACCCGGAGACGTGTCTGTTTACAGCATTTTTTTATTTTAAAATTTTTAATTTAATTTTTTTATTTATTTTTTCTCTCCCCTCCCACGTTCTTTTTCCTAATCACTCTTTACATTATCTCTCAATTCTCCCCAACTGATGTGGATGCTCTAAGGGAATGGCAGCATTGAAATAGGGAGTTGAATAATACTAAAGCAAAATAAGTTATTCCCTCTTTGCATCCCAACCCACAAATCTCCCTATTTGGGATCCCAAGAAAAATTCCCTCCCCGACAAGGAAATGATTTTTAAAGGCGCACCGCTGATTTCCATCTATAATTGTAGCATTAGCGTATTTTGATACATTACAATCAGTGTTATAAAAATTTCGTCTAAATGTCGATTAGTTGACGCCGACCAACCGCTTAACGTATCACCATAATCGTGTCTAGGCAGTAAGACAACTAGGCATCTGCCTCTTAAACACTAACTAGGCCACATAGTCTGATTACCTTTTTTTTTTACATAAATTATTTCACTAGTAACTACGGCAAAGATGGAGGAAGGAAAAAAAAAAAAAGTTCCACAAGAAAATTTACATAAAATCATATATTAAAGTACTGCAGCAGTCAAATCCAAGGGTCCAATTTAAAAAAATAAAAAAAGAAACCCAATCAAAATAATTATCTTACATTCTTGCATGAAATCATCAAATCACCTTCCAAAGGGGGGAAAAGCACAAAGGAAATAATACTCTCTTTGAATCCATGGGGAAATTGTATCTACCACTACTGGCTATGTGCCATCAGCAAGAAACCACAATCTTAAATTGTTTGGCTCAAAATACCACTGCAACAATTTCATATGCAGGCAATTAGGTGAAGTTCATTAATATGGCAAATAGAAAAATCTGCAGTGAAGTACCCACCATAATAATGACTAAAAGCCCTGTTCAAGCAAATAATCACCGAGCCTTTCAACAACCATGTTGCATTGCCCTGGAGTCATTGGCTCATCATATATCCCAATGAGTAAGCACTGAGCAGTCTTTTTAACACAAACGCCACCAGGTCCCTGGATAAATAATTTCATAGCATTAAAAGTAAGCACTGATGAAGCATTAAACTTTTTTAAAGAATAAAAGATAGCCTTTCATACGATACAAAGGAGACAAAGTACTCTTGTGGTTCGTCATAAACCACAGGGGCAAACTGTTCTTGTGGTTCATTTTAAACGCAGGAGACCCATCACCCCTCACAAGTCACACCCAATCTTGAGAACGAAAACTATGGGTCGTAATTAACAGATATGCTGACATATTAAGAATATCAGAAAGCACAAAACATTAATTGAAGCAACACGTAGACCATAGTCTCTTGGCTCTGATACCAAATTGAAGCATGTGCTCCATCTCAACTAAAAGCCTAAGCTGATAGTTGGATTGCACATTAATGGTTATATACTCAACGACATTCTCTTTTTCTCTAGTGTCTACATTCCATTTCCTGTATCTTTTAATAGGTCTATATTCATATTTCACACTACAATTAGAATACAAGTTTAAGATGATACCTTCTTTCCTCGAATAACAGCCCCTGCCTCACCTTGAATCACCATGTACTTTATCCCACCAAGGTACAACCCAGTTGGAGCAAGGGAGCCAGGTTCATCAAAATCCTTCATGATTGCAGAAATTTCTTCTGGTTTGACCTACAATATCAAAACCCAAAGTGTTAGTTCATGAACAGCAAGACGTGCAAAACCAAATAATTACTGAGCCCTACACGCAACCACGAAATTGTCCAACCAAAACAAAAACAAGTACAAGATTATTTTCATCTTATCACATTAACACAATCAATAAAAAACTACCCATAAACTTACACAGTCCAAAACTTGAGGGTTGAAGAGTACCTATTAGTGACGAATATGTATACACTCAAGTGAACTCAATCAAAAATTCTGCTATCACTTATTTTGTATACACACACACTCTTATCACTCAGTTTTAACAAATGTTTCAGTTTACGTTTGGCCTATTAGTGAAAAAATCCAAACCTTT